CCCCCCCCCCCCATTTAAAAATCCTGGCTACGCCACTGAGTAGAACCATTTTTATGGTATTAGCTTTAATTCTAAAGTAAACTAAAATATTACAGAACTTAAAAAGAAGAACATTATCTTTGCCTGTATGATGGTTTTTTACAATATATCAATTTTTAAGCAAGATGATATTTTTAAATTGCAATATTTTACTAACTGGTAACTTACTTAAAAATTAAAATATTTTCCCTTTAACTTTAATAATAGGCTTACTATAATATTCAAGTTACCACAAAAAAATTCGTTCTACTGAATGCAAATTTGCTATGTTCGTTTGTGAGACGGAGACAACACATGCAAGTGTGACTTCCTTTTAAAGATTAACTAAAAGAAATTATTGTACTAAACACACACACAAATTGTACACACACAATGCAAATATAGTAAGTGATATTTAAATCCAAATCAAACAATTTTCAACCAAAGGTCACATAATATTAATAATTTAAAACAGTGCTAATTAAAATTTACAGATATTATAGATTTAATTGATTTTGAATCAAATATAATACTTACATTTATTAGATATTCCAATGTTTATTTTTTTCTCAAATAATTGTTAATAATAATAATAATAATTTATTTGATTGAAGGTTAAATATTTTTTTTTTTTTAATTATACATTTGCAAATATTTAATAAATATTTCAACTAACTTTAAATAATTAAAAATAATCAACTACGTACAGATGTATAAAATATTCCATTAGTTTTATAATAGGGAATAAATTAAGTACTCCAAGTTATATTAGAGATATATAGATCTATAATGCAATTTTCATTAGATCAAAATAGAAAAATTCATATTATGCGTACAATTTATTCACAAGTCACAGATAAATATAAATCAAGTTGGTGGTTAAAAATCCTGAATCTAAATTGGAAATGGCTGATCTTAAAATGCATAATTTCATTTTTTATTTTTACTTCATAAATAATCTTAATAAAAAATTTTAAAAATATTTTTTACATTAATCAATTTTCAAACTTAATAAACAATATAACATGTTCAACATATAAATACAACTGTCATAAAGGAACAAAAGAAATTTTTTGACCAATTTTTAAAATTAACATTATAACGGGGATAATTGGTATTTTTTCATTAATTTTAGATACCAAGTAAAATAATTTTATATTAAAATAAGAATTTCAATAAATTAACATAAATTATTTAATATATATATATATATATAACTTCAACTTTTACATATAATTTTTTATCATTGCTGTCAAATCTGAACAAATAAAATACAACACACAATTCAAAATTTGATATTTTCTGTTTATTTGAATATGACATTATTCATTTTTACACCTAAAGGTTAAAACTTGATTAATAAAACAAATTTAAATTTAAAAGATAATTTTAATATTTCAACATTTTTATTTCATATAAAATTACCATAAAATAAAAATGATAAATGATTTCTTAATTATCAACTAAAATGTGTCTATAAACATTAATTTGAATAGAAAAAATCATTTCAACGGAAATTTTCATTTAATCAATATCATACAATATCTACATATAAAAATAATTTAATAAAATACCTATACATTTATTACATTTTAACATCACCATTATAATAACCAAGACAAGAAAGATAATTTTGATTATTGAATAATAATTTCAAACAAAAGAATTCTATAGAATATTAAAATCAAAACAAATATTTAGAAATTAATAGTATAAAATTTGTTCAATGTAGTTGAATGAAATACCTTTAGTTTAATAATAAAAACTGTACCAATTAAAATAGGAAATAAATATTTACATACTTGTAATACTTGTCAAATGGATAACTAGCTACAACAGCACCACCATGGAAATTAGCTGATAAAACAAATGGGTTATTAAGAATCCAGTCAATAACAGCTCTTGTTTCTGGTTGTTGCATGTCAAATGATTTCTTGTCTATTTGTGGAAAGTTTCTATTCAAATCTATACCTTTTGCATTGTTTCGACCAACATAGTTTTTTTCAGATAAACAATCACCTTCCTAAGACAAATCAAAATGTACAATTTTGAGTGATATAAAATTAAATTGACAAGTATCTATCCAAAAAATTAATTCCAGTACATTTGAAGCAAAATAACCATCCGGATTGAGTGTAGGCATAAGATAAATATCGGTTGAATCCACAATTCTAGAAATACGATCATCTCTACCATAATTCAAAGTTAAATATTGAGCTAAATATAATAACAGTTGTAGGCCAACAGTTTCATCTCCATGCATGTTTGCGATATACTTGAACATTGGCTTTAAAATTCTTCTGCTATGTCCAACATTCGTTGTTATTTCTATGGCTAAAATGTTGCGACCCATGGATGATTGACCAATTTCATGAACTCGAGCTAATGTTGGATGTTGTTTTTCAATTGCATATAGTAGATGTTCTATTTCAGTAGTATTGTAATATCGTTCATCTAGAAAGTCATCGTGTAAACCAACTTCACGAATGGGTTTTGCCCAGGTAGTCATCGTTAAACAAGTAATAACACAATACTTTAATAGAAAAGAATACATTTTAATGGTAATATTATAAACTGAAGACCAGGATAAAATTTACAGAAACACAATAATAATAGTATTATTAATAACGGTTATGAATGAAAAAATTAAAATTGCACGAGATTCATTGACTTGAGATTTATGGTAGATTTAATTTCATAGATTTCACCATTCAACGTGTGAACCAGTCGATGGTTAGTGACCACACTAGTACTAACTATTAATTACCAAGAAATTTTAATTAAGTTTAAAGACTATACACCGAGTCACCGGAAATCCGAAACGGTGAAACATCGTTCTCAGTAACTACTAGTTGCTACGTATCCATATGATAAATGTTATCACTATTCATGTTATTCCACTTATTTTCAAAAATGCAGAAACAGAATCGAAGTAGTTAAATAATAATCTATTACAGTTACTAAATTGATCAGTACAATTATAAGTTACAACATTTTTAGTTTAAAATAATAATGGTAACAACATTTTTATTATTTAATTGTAGCTGGTTGTTGGTACCTATACCACCTACTATATATATATATATATATTTTATGTCTCAATATTTCATAACCTAATGTTTGTGTTTATTTTTCCTCGATTACCTTTAAGTAAACTAAGCTATTAAAATAACATTATTGCATTTTACGTAAATATCACCGAAAATTCCATAATGTAGGGCAGCATTTCTTAACGTCGCGACCCCCAAAATAAGTAGAAAATAAAATTATTCACCTCATGCCCTTCTCCCTTCCTTTTGATATAAACTAGTGTTAAGTTCTTATATATTTTACCAGTTACATAATATAATAGTGTATTTATACTACGAACTAACTTTTTCATGTTTTTCATTATGATTATGTACCTATTTATTTTTCATTTTTATTATAAATAAAAAGTTGTTTTTCTAGATTAAATTTTTAATTATATCTGACGAATGTGACCCCTTATCTAGGGGTCCGTAACCTTCAAGTTAAGAAACGCTGGTGTAGGGTAAATTTTAATTATATTATAATACTATTATACTAGCTTATGTATATATGAATATATGCATTTACTGTAACAGTCCTGTAGGTATCCCGTGAAGCACCGGCGTGACGGCATGGAAAATGGCAATTATAACTATTGTATGGAAAACAAATAATTGCTAATTAGCACGTAAGTAAAAACTTAAAATTTCCCAATTGAGATGTCTACTCATATATATAGCGGTATACCATCGTGAATAATATAAAGTTTCATTATTATTGTACAAATAAATGTTAAAATACAGAAGTACCACAAGTACAGAAAATAGAAATAAAATAGTTATAATATTTGAAGATTGAAATAGGTAATCATAATTTCTTATGATAACAGAACCACATGTGGAAATTAAGAGTCTCCACGGAGACTTATTTAGCGTTGTCAAAACCCAAATATATAGGATCATAGATATTATTATGTGATTATATATATTAGAAATATACATTATCATACAATTAACTAAATAAAAGGGTTGAAACAGATCAATACCCCAAAAATCATAAATTTGCATAGAACCCTAGAAGGCTCACAATACTTTTTATTTCTAGATTTAAATAGTGCATTTTTCAATTACTGATAAAATTAGACCAATATAAATAATCGTTCAAATCCATTCACGGCCTTATAACATTCCTAAGATTGCCACAAGGATAATAAAATAGTGGAACTGTTTTTTCAAAAAGAATGAAAAAAATCTGTAAGGTGTCAAACAACAGGCCCTCGAATTTAATTATTATTATATTTTAATTGTTATCTATCGCGCAAAAGACAAGACCATACAAGACCACTCATTGAACTATGACCGCTGCCCGCCAGCCGATAAGCAAATTTGTGAGAAGGTGGACACCGGACACAATCATTAACCCAATATTGCTGCTGGTTGTTCGAAGTATAAAATATTGGTCTCCTGATTTTTTTTCGTTGGTATTTTTTTTTAACATTTTTGTATGTGATTTATTTTGTATTTTTTCTTTTAACCACATTATTGTGAGAGATATACTTATTCAAATCCCTTTATACTCATGATTACTAACTTACCAGAATATAATTTTAACTCACGTTCCCTACGGCGAGGTAAATGACGGCCGTGATGGGTAAAATATTCACGTGTGTTCTCACACTTTATGGTAAATATTTTATTATTATTATTATTATTATTATTATGGTTATTGAATAATTTCACCTCAACCGGTATACATGATTTGATATATATATATAGATTTTATTTTTATTCTTATATTTTTTTCATTGAGTTTTATGCCATTCGGGTTTTCTCGGTTATACTATTATTAAAGTAAAATTTAAATAAATTCTTATTATTCACATTATTATGATTGATTTTTTTTATTTTATTTAATTAATGGATGCTCCGGCTACTGGTCTCGGTCACAGGTTAGTGACCCTAAAACCATAGGTTCGCCACACGACACTACGACATTTTTTATCACGAGACGTCACAAATCATTATCTGATTTATTATATAAATCAAACTCTATATAATCTAAGATACCTAAACATTTATAATTATGAATAAAATTATTAAGACACCTTATATCCGGTATCCTTATATATCCTTATATAAACGGTATGAAGCCATTAAATAGAAATATAATTGCAATAACAGTTTTTAAAAAACTCAAAATTAAATTATATATTATATATTTTAAAGGTATGTACTTTTATTATGGGAAATACACAGTGGCATAGTCAAGGGGTTAAACGGGATATCACCCCTCGAAATACCTGTTATTTTGTAAAATATTCAATAACTTTAAGTCATAGGTATAATGTTATATCATGTCATCATTAAATAATTTTCATAGTTTCAATAAACTAAATAATAACACATTTAATATTTTAACTTATTAAAAGTTGGTACTTATGTAGGAGAGAATTGAAAATTTAAAACACTTTCTAAATATTTTTTTTGGCTATGCCACTGAAAACACAAAGGATTTCGCTAAAATAGCACTTCCACTCACCGAATTAAATAAGGAAGGTATAAAAATAATTAAACGGTATGAAGATCAGGAGCTGATATTTAATTAATTAAAATAGTTGTTAACTTCTGAGTTTTTACTTATTTGCTTCAATGATAACAAACATATATATTTAACAGTATATACATATCTCAATAACTGGTCAACACAACAAGATAAAAATAAGATAAAAATAATACACAAATCTCACACCCAATAAGATATGCGTATAGAAAATTACTAGGTAATGAAATAAGTACATATTCCTCAACAACCTTAGAATTTTTAGCGTCATGTGACGGTATAGCTTATTTCCTACAACTTATGGGGTAAACAATTCACGGTATTTTGTGATAATATAAGCCTTCAATACTTCAACATTTTTAAAATACAATCATTTAGCATTAAAACTAATAGATTTTACTTTTGAATTACAGTATACAAAATATAAAAAAAATAAAGTAGCAGAAGAGCATATCAAGAAATGCAATTAATACCATTTACAATGATTATAATAATATCAATAAAATAACTAAATGTGATATAAAAACATTACAATCTAAATACGAATTTTCTTTAGATATAATAAATGCTATTAGTGGTAAATATAGAGTACCTAAATAAAAACATTCAAAGAAAATCGAGACAATTTTAATTATCAATGAGATATATATATATATTATATCACAAATACTTTAAACCTCCAAATTCATTTGAACACATATTAATTTTGTCAATTAAATTAGTTGAAGAAATATTAAAATCCTACCATGAATCACCCATTAATGGTCACACTGGTATTTCATTGACGCTTCATAAATTACAAAATGCATATTACTGGACTATTTAAAAACACGCTCACTTCATAAAAATGGGTCATCGATGCCAAATAAATAAAATATTACCGAGTAAACTAATTGGGCAATTACAATCAATCCTAATATCAAATAAATCAATGGGCAGATTAATATTTGACTATCTAGGACCATTCAAACCCAGCAAAAAAAAAATATTCGTACTTGTAGCCATATATAGTAAAATCAAATATATATTTAACAAAGTAATTAAATCGGCCAAATCAACTGTTCAATTTATGATACAAATAGTTTCACAATGAGAATTCTTAAGAAATTTGTTATCTGTTAGAGACATCCATTTCAAAACATATTGACAGAAGTCACCCAAAATCTACACATAAAATAAATATTATCAACTGTTTTTCTTATAACATACTTTTATATTTAATATATACTTTTAGAGCCAGTACACACGAACGATTATTTATCGGATGTTATTTTTATCGTATTAAAATTTTATCGTTCGATAAGAGGTATGGTTATGACTAGGGAACGGATTTATATGTAATAAAAATACAGAAATATGTACATATATATGTAAGTATAATATATTAAATATGTGCTAAAAACATCCAAATATGTGGGGAAAAAAAATTTAAAAAAAAAGTGATTATTATTATTAAATTATCAAAAAGATTTGTTGCATTGTATTATTACAATATCTTGTAAATTATCAAATGTTAAATGTCGCCTATTAGGTATCAAAATATTTTTAAAACGGCTAAATTATCGTTTCACATCAACCGATGTATTAAAAGCATATTTCAAGTGCATACTATCAGAAGGCGATAATTCCAAATTTTTAAAAGGTTGTCTGCCATTCATTATGTCATTGATTGTTTTAAAATCAATATTGCCTGGAATTTTTTTCTGTAATAGCATGAATTTTCTTTTTTACGACATCTATTGGTCTGCTTACGAGTTTTAATCGCTGATTCAACAATTTGCATACTATCATTTGGGGACATATTTTTTATTAATAGTTTTGTTAAATTATTTTTAATTAAAATTAAATTATTTTCAATGTTTCATTTTGCATAATATTTTGAGCATTTCCAATAGCGATAAAAGTTTCTGGATCTAATTTTGAAATAATTTCTTGTATTTTCGTACGAAGAAGACGTATGAATGATTAAATGATAAAAATATGTTTAAAAATATTTAAAAATTAGTGAAATATGTAAAAATATGTAATTATACCAAAATATGTAAAAATATGTAAAATAAAAGTATCATAATTTTAATAGGAATGTTTTAAATCATAAACGTTTCTTATCGAATCTTAAATATCTCGTTTTAATAAAAATATGCATTTACATATAAATCCGTTCCCTAGTTATGACATACGGCTGACTTTTTATATACATTTTTAAGTTTATAAACAAATAACAATGAATGATATAATTTTATACATGGGACATGAACTATTATTAAAGAAAAAAAGAGAGAAAAGTCGAAAAATGTGGGTTCTTGTTTAGATTTCACTAATGAGAATATCAATATCGATTTGTAAATCTTCA